AATTTACTGAGATAGAGCAGCTAAAATAAAAAAAATATGTACCAATTATAACAATAATACAAATATTAAGATTTTCTTTGTGGCATTGCATACAATTTTCAATTGCAACTTTAATTTTTAGCGTTTTTTTTTTTTATATTCAATTAAATGTACCAATATTATCGATTTATATAAAAAATATTACATACCTACTATAATTTAATTTGTTTCATTTTTATATTCCTAAAATTTTTAAACATTTTTAATCTAAGACGAACAAATACATATTTAACCATGTATGTAACCAGAGTTATGTCGAATTTATTCAAATTAAAAATTATTCCTGAAAATATTATTTTTCGATCAATTGCTGTGCGGTAAATTGTAATTGCGATCAATTGGCTTACGTCAATAATTTGCGGTAAATTGTTTACGACCAATTGACGTGTATCCGAAAATGTCAAAATACATCTATGTTAATAAGTGTGGAGAAAGAGCTTTTTTAGAAGAAGTAAAATTTCAAGAAATATTAGAATATGTAAAGCAAAGTTAGTTAATTTTAAAATGATTAAGTTAATTAATTTAATTTAAGTTAAATTTAATCTTTTTAATTAAGTTAATTACCTATTTAAAGTAAATATAAATATATTTTCTTTGATAATATAAATTAATCCAAGTTTTTTTTTTTGTTATATATAAATATCTGCTATTACTGTAACCACATAGGTTTTTTTAATGGACTAATAGACTTTTGAAGAATGTTAGACTCTAAATTCTTCCCAGATTTCTACCAGAAATTAATATGTAGTTGTAAATAAAAATTGTTAATTCAGTTTTCAAAAATTGTATAGAATTAAAGTTTCTTTATAATTTATATAATTATATGTTTAATATGTCCATTAAACGTTAAAAAACGGGCACTAGATTATCTAATCTCCCTGAACCGTTCTGTTCCCAATTCGCATCTGACATCTAGTGCTCAATATCCATGTAATGAATTCCACATTGCCATAGCAACTACGGAATAATTTTAAAATGTACTTCAGATTTATAATTGAACACATTTAACTGTATGGCTAAAAACTAACAATAGAACGTATCTCAACGATTTACGTATGAAAACACGAGAAATTTAGTCGAATCCGACTTCTGAACAGGAACATTAGTTTTTTACGTCTATTTATAAAGTATACGATATTTTTCACCAACGGTTATTGTAACACACTCTAGCGGTGTAATATTACAACGTTTTCAAATAACAATTGAATAATTGTTAATTAATTAAAAAGTGACTTTATATTTCCGTCCATTGTTTTTTTTCGAGCTTTAAATAATCAATGTATAGTTGACGATCGCTTTCGAAAGTTGAAATAATTAATTAATAGTTTTAATAATTCACGTGAAATTAATGGTCTTACATTGGAACTGAAATTCCTCAAAAACGACACTTGAATAAAAATAATACCTATACGATTCGTGTAACACAACTGATAGTGCTTGTCTATACATTTCCAAATTAAACTAAAATAATAAATTATTAGAGATGGGAATTGTGACTCACTTTGATGAATCAATTCACTCAATTCAATTCAATTAAATGAGTCAATCAGGGGCGGTTCAATTAAATACAAACAAATAGTATTATAAAAAAATGTATATTGTTAACAAAAAATGCATATTATAATATAGACTATAAATGTTAAGTTCGTGAACAAATAATTCATTTGAACTATTCATTTTGATGAACTATTCTGAACTGTTTCAGTACCTGTGGGTCTATTCTTGAAATCATTCGAATTAGATCCGTATACGAAAATCGCAATTTCCACACGAATTTTCCCATGATCCAACTAATATGTATTCTTGAAATATTTATGTACACGATTGCGTTCGGTTATGTGGAAAAGTTCCGCACGATACATCCGAATGGGAGTAGGGCATTCGGAAACGTATTTCCGTATACGAATAAACATAATATATTTATTTATCTATTTATTTAATCATTTATTTTTTAATTATGAAGTATTTATGTGATAGTTATCATAATGTTTTTATTACGTATATTGATTCAAATAACTATAATTTTCCATTTTTCACTGTATCAATATACTTAATTCAATAATGTGATTGAGCTAGGATTGATTATTTTTGTTTATTAATTATGTATAGCAAATTAAAATATAGGAAGGTAAGTAACAAGTCTCACACATGGAAGATAATTTAGTCCATTTAGTTTGAGGTAAAAATTCTTATATTTTATTTTTTTATAGTTCAGTTCGTATAGCCAATATTTTAATAAAATTTCCCACAGATTTTATTATTCCCATGCAATTTCGAATATGTTGAATATTTAAAGAAGCCGTTAATTTAATTGAAGTTTAAGCCATTTATAACTGAAAATATTTATGTTGGCATTAAAAATAAATAGTTATTTTAAAGATTTGTAAAATACTGAAGACATTTAGGGGGTTCGAAGGGTCCGGACCCCTTGAGCCCCCCCCCCAGATATGGCTTTGGTCACATAGTAAACAAGTATAATAAACAAAATACTTGGGATGTATAGCTCATAAACTAACTCAAAGAATAGACTCTAAATCGTGAAACTTGACTTGGTGTTTCAAGAATAAACGTGGTTATTTTTATTTTGTTCACCATATCCGCCACTATACAAATGCAATTCTTCGACCGAATTAACAGCAGTGGCGTAGCCAAGGGGGGGGGCTAAGGGAGCTATAGCCCCCCCCCCATGGACTGTGTTTATATTTATAATGTATCTTGGCTATTTAATAGAATCAATGGATGTTCGTTTTAATCAAATTGATGTTATGCCACTTGAAAGACTTATTCCGGCCAATTTAAATATGTATGACGATAAAAATATTATAAAAGCTGCTAAAATATATGTCCAAGATCTCCATGATAATACCTCATCTATAATCAGAGCTGACCTGTTCATATGGAGGCAACAATGAAGTCAAAATACTATTCCAAAACCGAATTCTGCTCTTGATTCACTCTCTCATCGCATCAATCTTCGATCTAACATTAAAATACTTTTACAATTATTCGCCACGTTACCAGTTACCTCTTTCACTCCGGAAAGAACGTTGTCAACACTTAATCGCTTACATTTTTTTTTAAGAAGCACCATGTCGGAAAACAGATCGAATGGGTTAGCTATAGCTAATATAAATAAAAAAAGTGAAATAATAACTGAATTTTCCAGAAATTCACCTAAGAGGATGCAGCTGTCAGAGTGGAGCAAGTGACTGAACACTGAAACCAAAATTATTATTATTATTATTATTATTATTATTATAAACTATATATTAATAAATATTTTTAAAACTATACTAAAATGCTTGAATTATGTTTAGAAACTTGGTGGTAGATGGTGGGGGGGGGGGGGGTAGGGGGGATTTTTCATCTCCTCTCTTACCTTACTTATCCAAAAAAGTGGTTAGCCCCCCCCCCCCATTTAAAAATCCTGGCTACGCCACTGATTAACAGGTATTATTACCAAAACAGTTTGATCGGAAAATTTTGTACTTATTTATGAATGGGGTCAATTATGATACTGAGCACAGTTGATAAATAAACTAAATGTTTAAATCGCTACAGTAAAATATGTATCATACAAGGTTGACTCCTTTCAAAAGTAAACTATCCGTTAATACCCACAGGAAATATTTATTAAAACATTGTGAATTATCACCTTTCATAAATAATCGATTCACATAATATATTTTTTATGAAATAATATCGACCATTCGATACAGAAATCAGATTGTTGTGAACCAATGTAGTTAGTAGACGTAAGCATTTTGTATACGAGTCGACCGCCGCCGTCTTGGCACAAGCATCGACGTCGTCAGTCGATAAAATCCCATTTCAGTGAAAGGACATAGTTCCATCGATTCAAATAAACGTTATTAATAAAATACTTTCAATGTAGTGATTTATTCCTTCATAAGTAGAACCCCTACCAAAATACATATCGCAAATCTGAAATCGGATTCAAACCTTTACGGATTGCAACAACATGTGTGTTAACCGGACTCAACCGACTTCGGCACTTAACAAGATAATCAAAATATAATTGGAAAAACCTCAAAATTAATGTAGACAACGTTTATTTTAAAAATCGGTTCGCGGTAGTAACTGCACACCAAATTACGTTGTATTTCGCGATCACATCTTATCAACCATACGTATTTTATACAGACGTGCGGTGCTGTCACAATGTTATCCGATTGATGTATGCATATTATATAACTATTTTTACTTTAGGAGCAATAATATGACTACGCAAATAATTCTTAACCGGAAAATAATTTTGAATCATTTTTTTTAATAACATCTCGATATTCATAATGAACAGTTTTTAACAATTAAGTTATAAAAAAAATAAAAATATTTTTTTGATAAATGGCATGGCGGTGCACTTGCACCTGCACACGAGTCACCACTGTGTTGCATAATTAGGCACCTATGAGGTACAATGTAATAATTCATATTTTACATTTCAAACATGATTTCCGTGTGAAAATTCATGACAGTGAACTATATAGATAATATAGATATCTATTTCTACAAGTCGCTAACGAACGTTTATGCAACCCACCCTAATAGTCGTAATTAGTTTCTTAATATGCGATAGGTCGTGAACAATGAAATATGGATTATTGACTTGCGAGTCAATCCGAAACTTTCGAAGAGTTCGAAAAGTCGATAATCGGCATTCAAGATTTGATATAGATTCAAACAAAAGATTTGGAAGAGTTGACTTGACAATGATTCAGCTTATTAAACTAAACTGAGTTGATATATTTGGTTCACTAAAATAAATCAAAATCCCCATCTCTACAAAACAAAATATATATTGATAATTCGATTTTCGATAGCAACCACCACGATAGGTTAAATAGTTGTGTATAGCGCGCCCGGTGGTTAGTCCAAATAACCGGACGGTGATCGCTATGGAAGTGGTAACCCAAAAACCGTTACGGTTACCCATTTCAAATAATAACCGTCGTCCGTCCCCACTCCCTGACCGACTGTCCATCATTGTCGTTTTGTCCGGCGTCGTTCAGCGTTTTAACTGCATCGTCTTGTTTTTTACTGTCTGCGAACCGGTTAATGCTGATGTAAACGTTCCATATTATTATTATTATTCATTTGTGAACACTGCGAAGGTCAATTCGCTCAACATGTCGTCAATAATGTTCAATTCACCAGTGACTAAAGACGAGTGAGTATAGCCCTTTTAATAGTTGAACGAATTGTTAAGACATTCATTCGTCTGTTGTTGTTTCCTGTGCGCCGAAAATATTTACCGCCGAAGTCTTAACGTTTTCAACGCGAACAGTCGTCACCACATAACGCGAGCTGTGCGTCGGAGAAAAAGATCTCGTACTTTTTCTGTTCGCGTTATGTTCTAATGACAGATACCACCCATGTATATGTACGCGTGTGTTATTACGCTGTGCGCTTGATCAGTACGACCTAATAGTAAAGTTATCTTCAACTTGTTCCGTATATTATATATTATCGGTATCCAGATATTACATAATGTCTTCGCGGCGTGATAGATCGGCGATACGTAGACGTCTTTTTGCGTCGCGGGAAAATTACCGGAATATCCCGTCATCGTATGTGATAAAAATAATTATTTATGTTATCTAACACTTAACAATTCTTGCCTGTTCCTTGTATCATAGGTAGTACCTTTTAACTTCTATATTGAGTACATTATTTAAAATATAATTAAATAAAATGGGCGTATTTTAGGGGGCGAAGGGGCAATCCCCCCCCGCATCCGTATTTAAGGAATTGATTATATGTGAGATACACATTTCAAATTTTTTTAATGTGGATCATTTTATTACGAAATCAAGTTACACATTGCTGTAAATACTGAAGTAAGTTTTTTTGTCGAATCCATACTTAGAAAAAAATCAACTATAACACAAGCGTAACTTTCAAAACACAGACAGGAGTAAAAAAAGGACTACACCATTATCGATTCTAAGTGGATAGGTCATAAGATTAAAAAAAAAAAAAAACACATATTATTAAGGATTCACCTGATTTAAATATTACTAAAAATTTAGCTTGTACATTTTGAGCCTGAATTGAAAAAAAAAAATTAGTCGCCCCCTCTAGAAGTAAGTTGAAATACACCCCTGTTCAACAGAAATTACTTAAAAAGAAGGTGCACTGTTGGGTTTAATTTTATTTCACTGTCACCACAAGTATACTTGTACTAAAATTACCTTAATTTGAGTTCTGGTTGTCCCCTTAGACACTTTGAAAGTCCTAGTTAATTGAAAATATATACTATTAAAGTTTTTAAAGATAGCCTTAAAAAATGTTTATTATCAGGGCTCAAAAGTTCTAGCAAATACGTGTTTTCTTGGTTCATCCTAGAATATCTAAAATAAGATATTTGTACTATTATTTGTAAATTTTGTTAAATTACATTTAATTTTTTCTAGTTAAATGCATATTTAAGAGCTAAAGAGTAAAAAAATTAGTGCTACAACCTTTGAGCCCTGTTTATTACTAATATTAAGAATTATGTCTATATGTAAATTAAATTATTTTCGAAAATTGATAACTATTATTTTTTAGATCTAATTTGACTGTATTATTTGGTACTAATAGTACTAAAATTGTATTACCTTTTATCTAATTTACTTACTATTGTTTCAGTTCTGATTTTATTAAAAGATTGGATTCTACTAATTGGTAAGTTAAAATTGTGTCTGTAATTAATATAAATATCTTTTTTTTAGAAAACAAATAATATTATATTTATTTTTATCACTTGATAAAAATTATAAATTAAACTATGGATTAATTTAAAAGTAATTGTACATTTGAAAACTATAAGAACATTTTTTTATATATATATATATATATATATATATATATATATATATACTTAAGAAATAAAAATTTGTTCTCGTTCTAAAATTAAATTTTAATAAATGTTATTTATAATATTTTGATAATTTGATGAAAATATTTAAAGTGTATTTGTTATCCAAACTCATATTAAAAATTATATGTATATTAAATTGTTTTTAATAATAATAACAGGTGTATTTAAAATATATCAACTAAAATTTAAACACTACTACTTTTCTTTAAATAAATTCACCTTATTTTTTCTAGTATTGTGTATATACTCATAAAAAAAATGTCCTGCTGTTTTCATTGATCTAATATAAAAGTATTTACTTTATAACAAATATGTATGTATTTTTATTTAAAGAATGTTCAAATAATTTTTCTCGGTTTATGTAAAAATAAGTTTTAACATGAATTTTGAATATTTTTGGTAACTATTAATCTATTATAAATTGTAATGTGATCCTTCTCTCTATTGCATACTTTGTAAATTAAATATCTTTAAAATCCATGTTGCATTTTTTTTTTTTTTTTTTACAATTTTTTTTTTTTTTTCTTTTTTTTTTTTTTTTTTTTTTTTTTACAATTTTATTTGTTTTCTCTTAATATTATATTTATTATATTTTTAAAAATAACTAATAACAAAACAAATCTATACATTTTTTTTTATGTGTATATATATATAGTCCAGGTACTGACCAGATAAATTTAATTTTGGATGAAGTATACGCATATTCAAAAAAAAACATCCTTAAAGTAAAAAAGAATCTAGATATAATTTATGGTGCTCATTCAGATGAGAATAAAAATGGCTTAAATCAATTACATGAACACCTTATGAGTCAAATAACTGTATTTTTTGATGACGTCGTTTTAGAATCTGATAAAGATAAAAAAAACATTATTAAAGAAATCGAAGAATTATTAATTGAAAAAAATATTTTAGAAAAGGTAAATTTAATATTTATTCTTATTTTTACGTATATTTATTAATTGCTAATATATTTAGGAACTACAAATGAAAATTCCCATTGATGACCATAATGATGTCCCATTGATTGATGTTCAAATCAATATTGATAAAGCCCTGTTAGGATGCAGAAAACTGAAAGAAGAACGTATGGCTGAACTTTATAAATTGCAGGATGAAGTAAATTTATTTAGATGTTTATTATGACATTTAGAATATTTTTAATTTTAAAATATTTTAGGAAAAACATTTGTGTCAATTACTCGATGAAAAACCAAAATATTCTGGAATAAAAGAAATGCCATCTGCAACACAGTTGGAAACTATTAAAAATCATCTTATTGATTTGAAAAATACTCAAGTATTTTCTTGTTCAGTTGTTATTTAGACATTTTGCTAGAAATTTACATTAATTTATATATTTATATTCCTTAAATTTTAGATTAAACGCCAAACTATATATTTAGAAAACAAAGCCAAAATTAAATCATTATTTGTCGAACTAGATGAGGTACCGATTTTACAATTTGATAAAATGGTTTTGGGTGATCCAAGCGAATTTCGACTGTCAAAATCAAATTTAGAAGAACTTCAAGTAAAAATTAAAATTAATTAAATTTAGTAAAATTGTAATTAATTGTATTATGTTTTATCTAGAAATTGATTAAACGCTTAGAATTACAATCTGAGAATCAATCACAAATATCTATGGAGCTGAGAACTAAATTAAATTCATTATGGGACCGTTTGCAAATTGATGTAACTCATAGAGAACATTTTGTTTGTAACAAAAAAGGAATTGGCAAAAAAGTTATTCAAGAGGTTTACATATATATATATATATTTAACTGTTCCATCTATATTATATACAATTACCTAATTAATTTTACTATTCTTAGTTAAAACTTGAAATTGAAAGATGTGAAACATTAAAAAGAGAAAATATAAAACAATTCATTGAAAAATTACGTGATGAATTAAATGATTTGTGGGACAGATGTCATTTTGGTGAGCGTCAAAGAAGACAATGTCATATTTATTACAACTCTGAGTTTAATGAAGATGTAATGGATTTATTAGACATTGAAGTAGAAAATACAAAAAAGTTTTATCAAGAAAACATGTAAGATTGGATTAATTTTTTTATTTTTAATGTTTAATATTTTAATTTTTTTTCTAGTGCGATATACAATTTAATTGAGGATAGAAAACATTTATGGAATAAGATGATTATTATGCAAGAACAAGCTAATGACCCTGGTAGATTATGGCAAAACAGAGGTGGTCAGTTATTAAAAGAAGAAAAAGAAAGAAAAGTGATCCAAAAAGTAATTTTACATTACATTATATAAACATAAAATTTTATTTTATTTTGTTATCATATAAGTTCAAAATTATATATCATTACATAGGAATTGCCCAAAATTGAAAAAGAACTAAAAAATCTCTTACATATTTATGAACAAAATGAAGGTAAACCCTTCATATATAATGATGAGAGATTATTAGACCTTATAGAAAGACAATGGGAAGATATGAGAAGCAATAAAAAAACTATTCAAACCAAAGTATTTTTTTTTTTTTTTTTTTTAAGAAACCAATTGGCGAATTTTTATTATCTAAAATAATTTTTCAGTCTAAAATACAAACTGGAATCAGAGCTCAAACCCCTCAAATGGCCACTCGCAGTAAGAGGAAGATTGCTCCTTCGTCTTCCTCTCAAGTTTCTAAGGTCCGTAAAATCGGCATGGACCATAAACCTTTGGTAACCAAATAATATAATGCCTGATATTTTGTACATAAAAATATTTATTTGGGTTAATTGTAATTTTTATTTTATATATTAATTTATATATACAACTTTTAATTAATTTAACTTATTAAATTCACCTTCAATTCTGTTACAATTGTAAACATTTATACTTGAGTAGTTCGGCCTCGTTTATCAGACTTTTCTGACTCATAAAAAAAAACATGCATCTATTAATATTGGTATATTTAAAAAAATAATATACATATATAAATTAATATATATAGTGCAGTGAATTAATATATTATTTATTTTTATTAAATAATTTAATTATTACAATTATTACACCATTGAGTTTCATAATAACTGTCAAATAAACGAGGTACTGCTAAGTGTAAGTATAATTAATGCCTGCTTTATGTAACTAAATATATTTGATACTAAGTTCTTCCTTCCTTTTAGATTATTCAAAGAAAACAATTGTTTAACCCAAATATAGCAACATTAGTACCATTAAATTCTACAAAACTAAATGAAATTACTCAAACATCAACTAGAAATTTCACAAAATATCATGGATCCAATGATGATAATGGTTCAGTTGAATCTTATTCAACATTCCAGGTTTGAATTCTGTGAGATAATGCGTTCCACACATTATTACTTCTTTGTGTGTGAATATTTTCTATCGCTTCGTTTCATAATTACAAATGCTACATTATTTTATATCATATTACTATTTTTAATGACAAAGTAAAATTTTCTTGGTAAATGAATGCATATTTTTTTGCTATAGCAATAATTATTGATCGAATTTTATGGCAGATACTGAGAACTACACAATCAAGTTATTTATCCTCTAATTAATTACTCTAGAGATAAGATTATAAATTAATTATTAATAATTATTTGTTGTATTTTATATACATTAAAAAAAGGTTTACCCATTTCATTTTATTATTTTTGAACAATTTTATGTTAAATTGATTTATTTTGCTAAGCTTGGCTTTTAAAAATTACAATTTCAAAATATTTTTTTGTTATTGTTTTGCATTTTTTGCTTTTTATTTTTATTTTATGAAATGTCAACTAATTAAACATTCAAATTGTTTTAGGAGCATCTTGAATCTAAAAAGCAAATGTTATTTTCTAGTCCACCAACCAAAAAAGTTTTAAGAGAACAAAATAATACCCGTAATGCCTTTACCACACCCAGAAAAAATTTGGTAAAAACACCTGTTAAAGGATCTCAAATTCCAATACCAACCACACCTAGAACACCATTATGTACAACACCTAGAATGACACCCAATACACGAACAGTTAGCAAACTTACACGAACTTTAAATAACAAACTGCCAATTATTTTTTAACCTTTCGCGATTTGTTATATAAAGTTCGTGTAATGTAATCATTTTTTAACCTTTATAATTTTATTATCATTAACTATTGCATTTCTTTTTAAAAAATCATGTAACTTCTTTATTTAATGTTTATCTTGTTAAAATTTTTATTGTGTCAGTATTATAAGAAACATCAAATTCTTGATTTATAAAAATAAGCTCTTAAATAATTTGTTAGTATAAATTTGTGAATTTGTTTTAAAATTTATTATACTTAATATTTCAATGTATTATATCTACAATTAATACGGTATGTTTAATTTAATATGTAAATGTAAAATCATTAAGTAATTTCATTCTAATGTTTTATTATTTTAATTTTATGTTAAATTAAACTGAGAAAAAATAATACTGTTTTACGCCTATTACATTAATTTTAAAGTTATATTATTTTTATTTCAAATTGTTAAGAATGTTGATATTTTATTATGTTCTACGGTATCAATAAAATTTGAAACATTAACATGCAATTAAAAATTATAAACACATATACAATACAATAACATATTTATATATTATAGCAAAATAATCAAAAAGTATTAATAATTTATAGTGTTGAAACATGAAATATTATTTAAATGCAATGTGAAAATTGAATTCACAAAAGCGTTACTTATATTGGTCACAAATCTTAAAATCATAGTGATGGAATAGTTTTAGTATTAAATTTAAGCTATTATATTTTGTATTTTTCGCATCGTGTATTAATGCTTTGTTGTAGAAAAATGAAGTATACAAATTATAAAAAATTCTAAATTTGTAAAGCGTTAAGTATTTTTTTGATTAATATGCTGCTAAATCATAAGACTGTCCAATTTGATCGGCAATTACTCTATACTCTTGTTTGGCAGTGTCAAGTTTCTCTAAAACAAAACATAAAAACAATGTTACTTGCATGCAGATGTTAATCCGGTTATTCAACCAAAACAAATGAGTTTTTACTAATTACTGGTATAAACATGGTCACTGATAAATGTACTGATCAGTAATTGTTGACCTAATTAAACTACATGTGATGACATGTAATCGAAAATTATTTAATTTTTATATTGATAGAATATACCTACAATAAATAAAATTGCCCGTGAATATATATATTCGCATGGCATTAAAGTTATCGAGTTTTCAAATACATCTAGACATTTGCTATAATTAGAGCCCGTGGATTAAACCACAAGAATAAAATTATATTATCCGTAAAATGTTACTCAGCTTCACTCAATGTAACAAATTGTTTAACACGTTGACGTCCGCGTATATTTCAGAGGTCGCGCCTACCCAGCCAAACATAAAATAAAATAAATACCTATTTAAAATAATGAAAACCATAAAAAAAAATGTATAACAAATGACTTAGACTTAAGTTTGTTTGTGAAAATCTTTAAAACAACCTTCTAAACATAAGGCTGGTCTTGACACTCGGCACAAAAATATATAGTATCCTTACGAATTCCTTTTGAATAACAATATTTGCACCTTTTGTACATATATCTTTTTTTACTATTTTTCTGAACTTTTAACGGTAAATGAGTTTCAGAATACCTTTTTTTTGAATTGACTGGAATATTTTGACTATCAGGCAATAACCCTTGTATAACTGCAACTTACTCAATGTAACAAATTGTTTAAAGTAAATCTAAATCCAGGTAGACTTTGTTATAGTATGAGAACCCAGTGGCGTATTTAGGAATTTTTCTAGGGGGGGGGATGAAATATATAATAATACATCCTAACACCCATTAATTCGTACATAATATACATTTTTAAAATCCCCTAACTTGTTACCTATTGAGGTTAGTGTGGATCAAGGCAAAATAAGAATTAATCTTTATAATTACCTCATCATTTTCCAAACAAATTTTTTTATTTGTACTAAAATAAGAAAATAAAGTTTTTTTTTTGTTTTTGAATATTACTCATATTGTCTTAAAACTTCACAGTTACAACTTACAAGACGCAAAAAATAAAGTCGAACAATAGTCAATTCGGCAGTAAGTCAGTACTCGGAATGGCGCGGCGTCGCTATCCGTCAACGTCCAATGACCGTACATATCTACTTTTAACGAATCACGATATCATACGATAAAATATATATATATATAGCTATACATTAGCCATAAATCTACTAGTAACAAATTTTCTAAAAATAAACCCGCCCGGCTGCCCTATGGTTAATCCACGATCTTCATGGTCATTTTGTTTTGTTTACCGATTGCTTATCGGGTTTATTATAATCACTCTTGCATGAAAAATAATTCGCAGAAACGTACAAAATACAGTACACCATAATATAGGTATATGCCTGATAGTCGTACATGCCGCCAACGATAAACGATTAGTGGCGATTAGTATATCAGACTATCAAAGCGGTACAATTACCACGACTAGAACATTTAGAAAACAGAAAACATACATGCTTGAAAGTAATATCATATTAAGAATATTAGAGAAAATGAGACAACTTATAGCTACCTAGGAAAAAAAAAAAAGGTCAAGGGGGGGATCTATCCCCCATATCCCCCCCCGTAAATACGCCACTGTGAGAACCGTCTCTGCAAATAAATTCAGTGAACCTCTCGTGATTTTATCAAGATCAGATTGTTCTCTCCAGTGTCCAAATCAAACAATTAGTATAACAATATACATGATTAGATTTGGAAGTTTTCTATCCGGAAAAATACAAAAGTACCGGCTTACATATTAATTTACCAAAATGTTGAATTTTAGCCAACATTTATTATAACTTGTTATTTTAACATAGTTGCAAATAAATATACCTATAGGTATATTTATAGGTACTACCTACACAGCATTTATTATGACATTATACATTGTGTAATTGTATTTTTGTACTATAAAATAATAACAGATTGCACAATTCATACAAGTTTTTACGATACATATTTCATTAAACAAATTACCATCTTCTAACTAAAAATCCTTGTAAGCTTTATACAGTTCTGGAATAATTTTTTTTAAGTCATTCCAATATCTAGCAAAACTGAGTAGTTTACTTATTGATATTAATTTATTTTGAATACCTATCTATATTATGATAATATTATTATACATTTTTAATTGTTCTAATTTATCTAACATAATAACTATGAAGTTTTTGAAAATGTCTATAACTCCATTGAAATCTCTGAATTCGTTTTATATCTTCAATAGTACCACTAACCATTTGTTGATACTTATTGAAGAAGTGACCCACCATGAAAACTCCCGAATTCCTGGCGGCTCAATCCATCTCTGGCAACAATATACTATTTATAGTTATTCTATTCTGTTTATATTTATACTAAATAATAGTCGATATCATTTTAATTTTAGAGCTATGGGTAATAACCGCTCGGGGGTAATCTATAATTAGACACAGCGTCAATTAAATTAACCCTTGGTATACATTATCTATTTTTGCTTATTGTTATACCTACATATTTCTTCGAAATTTTTTCCACAAGTTCAAATTAATCAAGAAAATAAATTTCATGTAATATTGTAATATTATAATAAGTATTGTATATTCAATATTGTATTTTAGTAGCCAATGCCATTAAGCGTCCACCCGAACTTTTGGCGATTTAAATTAAAGAGGACGCATAATCTTACCTTAAATAAGAAGGAGGACTCCGTCTCCCTTCGTCCCCCCACTTTAACCAATGGATGTAGTTCTTGTAACTTTATTGCTTTCGTCAGTGAATGTGCCCGCTAATGTTTCAAAATTTTCTTTAATTTCTATAAATCTAAATTTTACTTTTTATATTGATGTCAACCAGTATAACCCCCTTGTATTTCTAATGTTTATTCATAAAGTATTTCTACATTATTATTACATTTTTTTTTAATTTTTACAAATAACTCATATCTTGTTTAAACTGTTCATTGTACATTTATAAATATGTGAATTGTATCAAAAAAATAACTAGGTATCTTAGAAGATGAGCAACACAATAAATGTATGTAAAATTTACATTGTAAATAGCATGAAGTATAATTTCTTTAATTCTTGATTGAACACCTGAGAATTTGTCACCCATGACAATTGCGCCTTCATAACATTGAAAAGTACAGTTTTTAATATTTAGTTTTTGATTACATGTAATGTTGATGAATTAAATAGCAATGGTTACGGAATCTAAAATGTTGTGGTAGCAGCTTATAGATTTTTCATTAAATTCTATCGAATCGAACATTCCAACTTTAAATCACTAAGTCCAACTTTTTTTTGAATTTAAATATCTCTAAAAATCGGGGAGAAATCAACGATTTCAATGGTACTAGTTTCAGTTCCCTATAATCAAAACTGACTAAGTTATTAATTCCATGAAATCGCGATCGCCCCGAACGGCATCAGATTTTTACATAGCCCATTTTATGCTGATGAACAATAATATAAATTGGTTAATTTTTTTTTATCTAAGATAATATTCTAAGATTTGAAATATTCAGAGGAAGGGGACAAAAATTGTCGACGAAAAACCTCTCCTTCAAAACATAAATAAGTTACTTTCTGTTGAGAATGACCGATGAACGACTTAACAGTATGGCTAATTAAATATTGAATCAGACATCACAAAAAGTTTACAGTATGATGACATAATCAGTGAGTATAGGTAGTTCCTTTCAAACTTGTAAAAAAGATATGTAAATTATAAACATTTTTTTTTAATAATAATAAATAATAATTAAACCTATTTTATACTTGTGACTAATTTATAAATATAACATAATAACATAAGTAATGTTTAAAGTTTAAACTGTGCTTTCTATTTCTAACAACTAAAAATTGTTTAATGGAATTTTTGATTAAATAATCAATGGGAACTGGTTCTACTAGAGAATACAAAAAGTGAATACATTAAAAGCAACAATGTAACAAATAAGTTAGAAAGCACTTGAAAAGATAATGATAACGTATAGGCTGTTATACGGCCTACGGTTGGTTACTGGGGAAGGTAAACTCCGACGCGCTCAGTAGATAGAAAAAATTAAATAATTTATGTGGAGGGAGGCGGAAAAACTTCAACACCCAAGCGCCAAATTTCTGAATACGTCTCTGCCTACAACTCAAAAACTATATTTGTCAATAATAATAATATTTTTTAAAACCTATACACTGATAATAATTTCATTAAAACTTACCTAAATATGTTTCAATTTATTTTTTAAATGTATTTTAAGTAGAATAATATAAATATTATATTTATAATCTAACACCATTTTTTAATCTATAGCGGCAATATTTTTATTAGTCTCTTCCGCCGCTGGAGTAATTGCAATTTAGATGACTTATGACTATAATATTAAATTAAATGATGGTTGTTTTCAAGCTCTAAATTGAAATTGCAGTTGTCATACTCGATGTTTAAATGTATGATAATAGCAATATTTAAAAAACGGAAAACGATAAAAGTTATGATAACGTTATTTCCACAGAACGTATAAGGATTATCATCGAAAACTCAAAGTAATCCTGCATGTACCTTATTACACCATACGGTATATTTATAAATACATTTATAATTTCGTTGTTCTAACTGGCAAAATGTTCATAACTCGCTTATAATTATCTAAAACGAGTATAATTGTGAGTTATGCTGAGTAACCATATGAGTATATTAAATTGAAACGGTCTAAACCGATTTCATGTTCAGCAATATTATACCGATGACCAAAAACGGCCGTTTTAAAGCGCTTTTATACATTCATATCTACCACCAATGTTACTTATTTATGCATGTGTGCATTATATTACCAAGTTTGCGGAAATGTGACAACGCTGCAAACGACTTCATGCTAAAATGTTATTATTATTCTATTTCTTCATCAGATACGGTTGACTTTAATTTCGTTTGGGTACCTACGGTATAATATACCAATAATGTTTGTGCGTGTGCACGTATGCCACTTGCCGTCCTTCTTGCTAACCTAAATACCAACAGTAGATTTTTTTCTTTATCGATATTTTTCTAGGAGATAATGTAAAACAAACAACGTAATAAAAGCAAGCGCTTAGCCAGGAGGAAAAACCGGAACCTTAATTGAATATATTACTAATTTACACGTTTAGTATCCCAAACCGAGATGAAGATAATAATAATAATAAAATTTATAGTCGTCAAAATTATACTTCAATAATTTAAGTATAATTCAGTAAATTAATTAATCATAAAAATTATTTTTTTTATAAAAGCATCGGCATGAAGACCATTTTGTCCGCATGGGTATTGGGGTAGCGGTAGTTTTTTGTTTAGATGGTATAAAAGAGTATCACGTAGAGCAGTGGCGTATACAAGGGGGGACGTGGGGGTCAAATCCCCCCCATTAGCTTTTTATTATTTAATTATTTTTTGTTTTTCCTTATATTATATAGTATGCACTATAATAAAATATTTTGTGATGTGAATTTATCGAGCTATTGAATTTTGACAATTTAGTCAACACTGAAAACCATTATAATTTTATTTTCGTTTATTTATAGCAAAGTAATGTTTATTTGATATTTTTGACGAAATGCCAATGACGACTATGATTATACTTTATTATAGCTTATCTTATAATTTATAGACAATACTATGTATATAACAATATGTATGTAATCTGGGCTTTAAAATATTATCGGATACTATCGTTGTTATGAGAAAAGAGAATGAGATCATTATCGTTACGGATTTAGTTCACCGCGTATACATAGTACATTCTATTTATTTATCTGAAACCTAAAAAAAAAGAAATTCACGGGATAGTTGATAATTTATTGAACCTATCATAGATTCGTGGAGAAACATAGTTCATAATTGTACCCTCATTTACAAAAATAGCAGTGCCGTCAGACGTCAGATTGTTCCTATTGTTAAATATTTTACTATCTAAAATTTTATAAAAAATTATAAAATAGTAAAAAAATTTTGAGGATGGGAGATTTTTTCAATTTTTCCATCCCATTTAGTTATGTCGTTTTCTTTTTTTGATCCCCCCCCCCTTTCAGAAATCATGTCTACGCCACTGACGTAGAGTTGGGTATAAAACGGTAGTTGCGGTTGTTGCCCTCGTAGACGGTCATTCCATGTGGAATTGGCAATCGTTACCAATGACCGGCGACTGTGCGTTTAATAAATTTTCTACTACGACGCCCCCTCTAACTACCGAAGTGCTCTTAAGGAAACAACTGTAGTGGTTTGATGGTCTACCGGCACTGGCCAATGCAGCGAAGACATTTAAACGGCCTAAAACGGTAAAAAGTAGGTAATAAAAGTACTTATATTACAATTTATAATAACCTAATAATGGATGCAAGGTGCCCTTCGTGGTGCTTATTTATTCGGATAAGATTTGTAACGCTTCAGTCGACTACACTTGCCTGTAGGTAGGTATTATTATTATTAAAGTAATATACAGGATAGACCGTTAACTGATGGTTTTTAAAACCCTATAATTTACATGGTTTAGACTTGAATTTATTCAAACGAAAAGTAAATTTTTACGATATTATTTTAATTTTTTTCGGTCAATAGGTACTCGCGATTAACTCGAAATGGTTCGCGAATGAGAAAGAATATTAATTTATATAATTATAATCTATGTACCTGCAAGCATAAAATTGCTGTGGTTGAAAAAAAAAATTCCGTCTCGTCAACCTGTTTAAATTTACATACAGCTCAATTATGCTTAAACCCACAGATATCTCTCAAGTTGTGTACGGTCTATTACAGCGCCAGTAAACATGACTGATTCTCCAATCGAAAATATGTCGTTAACAGCCCCATGCAAGTACCTACGCTCGATGCTCATTAACAGATTTGATGTTTTATTTCTCTACCAGACGAATGACACTATCGATAAAAAAAACCGTCACGCCAACGATTGTGAAACAGAGAAAGCTATTTTTCGCTACACGAATTATAGATTTTCCCGACACGAGTAAGGGCATTTATTTCACCAATTAATATTATATCAGCAATGATGTTATCGTGTATGTGACCGACCACTGCAAACACATATTATCAATGGCGTTGCGAACTATTTTTATTTGACAAATACGGATGGTATAATATTATCGACCACCAGAGTAAAGTGGGTAACACAAAATGTCATATAATTGTATAGTATAATACGATCGCTTTCGTTATTTCGCTATCCATTAGTTCACATGGGGACCCTACAGCCTAGTTAATCTAACCCAATTGGTCGTGAAACGTGGGCCTTATAAAAAATCATGTTGCGTTGGTACTGATTACAGTATAGGTTGTATATCATAACAAGAACGGGAAAGTTTGTGATAAAGAGGATAAAGGAGGTATGCATGCAAGTACATGGTGTTTTAAATAAATACTAGGTAAAAAGTGCAATAAAATAAAAACAGCATATAAAACAAAAATGCATTCGTGTATACGGGTGTTTGTAATTATTATGTTTATAATTCTCGTATGGCTTCAATATAAAACCAAATCAGTTGTTTTAAATAACAATATTCGCTTAACATTATTTACATAGACACAAATAAAAACTGGATGCAATTTTCTGAAACCTATTTAAATAATTGGATAAAAATAATAATTCTGGATTGAATACAAATCAACATGCTCGTAAAATATTGCAAAACACAACAAATAATAAATAATCAAAATCATTGATTTGGTATTAATATAATGGTCATTTTTAACATCGTTGTTAAACATTTTAGTCAACGAGTTCAGAGAACGTTTGGTCAAGATCGTCACAAATGTATTTGTATTTCTCTTTCTCATTTACCAACTCGTCTGCAAAAGAAAACAAAATGGAAATGTTCAAAGCAATAATTTCTTTTTTTCCAAAATCTTTTTAATATATATATATAGATATATATTTCTTTTTTTCTTCATATAATTTTATTGGTAAAATATATAGCACTTGGGATGACAATAAATATGTAAAAAAAAAAATTAATAATAATAAATAATAATTCGTAAAATATAAGTTATCAGTGATTACGATCTAGTGTTAATGAAATAAATCGTCTGTACAATAAAAATAAGACGTAAAGTATATTATATAGTGATCATACATCAGAATTTGTTTTTTTTTTAATCGTTGGTTATTTGACTAATAACAAAAACAATACAAAGCTTTAAATAAATCACAACAAATACATTGTTTTAAATAGACATTTACAGTTAGAAAAAAGTTAGGTAATGTTTTTCTTGTTATGTTATATAAATAAAAAACTAAGCATATTTATAAATAATAATAATAACGTTTGGATAAAAATTAATTATATTCAACAGACAACGCAAAATACAAAATGTTGGTATATTTTAAACAATTTATCTCGCGGGGAAGAAATAAAAGACATTGCTAAAATAATTGATACAACTTTGAAATAATTTTGGTTTTTGTTTTTGATATTGGGTTTTTATTTATACGTATATAATATAAATATATACATACACAGGCTATCATAGCATTTCGTATAAATGGTCTAAAAGCGTACAACCAAAGCAAAAATTAAATTAAAACATCGCTAAGCTATGAAATACAATACAATGCAGAAAATAAAATAATAATAAATAAAATGTAATTACTAAAAACTATCTAAAGTTACAAGTTTTGTGTTACAAAAAATGTATTTCTTATGGACGGTGTTAGTAATAGCTGCGCTGTATTGTTATTATTATTATTTTGTTTGTTTTGTTTTATATATATAAATATATATTGTATAAAGGGAATGTGTAGTGTGTTGGGAGTGTGGTCGGAGACATAGACGACTGATACAATAATATTGTTGTGAGTCAGAAAAAGAAGGATGAATAGTGTTTGTGTGTGTGTATGTATGTAAATGGTGTTCTGTTTAGATGCCATACAGGTCGACAAACGCAAGGTCCAAACTGTCGCCAATGTCTCTGAATCTCTCCTTTTCGGCGACCAACTCATCTGAAAAGCAAATCGGTTACTGGGTCAGTAACATACTTCTGCAATTCGGGGGTTTGTGAAAAAAAAAAGAATTCTGAACAGGATAGTCAGCAGAAGCCAGAAGTATTCGTGTAAAGACCAAATCACAGCACATGCAGTAATGTAATAACATTACGCACGTACGTATTATAGAAAAATAAGGATGTTGAAGATAAGGATCAGTTTGCTTTCGCGCATAGACGATTCCTTTGATTTTTAGTTAAGAATATAAATAATGGTTAATAGTTTTAAAAAAGAAAGAAAATTGTTTATTGTTAATTTCAGATGTACATAATAATATAGTATTAAGATTTGTTGCAACTTGTTCGATATAATCACAATTTTAATAATTAGAAGGCGACCAATTCATTCATCATTTTTTCAATATTTTTTACTCATAAATTTTACTTATTAGTATGAAAAATAACAAATAGGTTAATAATACGTTGATTCAAAATTGTAAACATTAATGATATTCATTTGGTAGATAGAATATTATATTGGTAAAAGTGAAGTAATTTTTTTTTAAAAAATACGAAACCAAAATATTAATTTCGAAATCCGAAATTAATTTTAGAATGCGTTATTAAAATTCGGAACATAAAAAATGATTAAAAATTAAATTGAAACAATAACTATTTAATTTATTATTAATAACTCTATTGACTATCGAAAGGTACGGTTTTCAATACGTTTCAATCTTTCTCAATCATTCTTTACATAAAGGACAAAAAAATAAAAAGGTACAATACTGTGATTCCGTATTTAATTGAAAAATACTATTTGAATAATACAAGCATTTCAGGTAAATAATTGTGTATGAGCATGAGTTATAAATTCCACTCATCTTAAATTCACTATTATACGTCATTTACTCGTGTTCAAAATTTGACGCTGACCATATGGTTCTTATAAAAGAACCGAAGTACATGATTGGAGACGGTTTTGTAATGTAATAAGATTCTATTGTTTTGAAGTTTCATAACAATGTCTTAAAATTTAATAGGTACACATTTTATAAACAGTGCACTATCGCGTTCGAATATTCAACACACGCGGAACATGTTTGCAACAATTCAAAATTAATCAAATGTTTTTCTTGGAGGTCTACAACTCATTTGTACACTATATATTAGAACAATTAATATTTAAGTCACCATCGAAAGACGATTGAACGTAATTTCCGGCAATAAAATATTATACTACCACGGCATATAATGTTACTAGTGTTAGAATAATGTATAGTTATATTATAATAATAGAAGAAAGAAGGAAATAAATATTTATACAAATACAAATAATAATTATAATTATAATAATAATAAAGTGCATTATAAAAATACTTGGTCGAACCTGTGCAATAACGTAGTTAGTATGGAGTGTGGAAATGTTAAAACCAACATCATAATATAACGAGTGTAAAAGTATAAAAAAAATTGTTTATAAAAACTAGATAATTTTTATAAGGAGTAGGAAATTTACTAAAATGGGACTGGGGAAGGAAAAATATGGGACGGTATGTTATTTTACATGTTTTGGATGTCGTGCAGGGTGGCTTCCATCTCTTCTTGTAGATGTTTGTTCTTTTCCTTTTCGCCGGTTAAGTCATCTGTGTGTTGGTCGATTCCACAGCAATACAAACACGCGCATCACACATGAAAACAAAACGTTTAGCTAACATGCACAAACAAGAAAAAAAAACCAAAAACAATAATATCTAAATACTAAATCACTACAAATAAAATAAAAATAAAAATCTACGTGCTGAAAACAAGTATAATAAATAATAAATACAAAATTAAGGATGAAAATGTATTGTAAAATGGAATTCGTTGCATGTCGATATTGCAACGATACTTTTCAAGATTATGAAAAAAAGTTCACACGTACATCACATCATTATACATATGTATTATTAATTTATTGGCGTTATTTTATTAGAATATTTAGCTTGAGGACAATACACGAGCATATGCTGTTAAAAAAACAACATCAAACAAGAAAAAAACAATATTTTTTCCTTTTAGTAAAATCTGATAATTTACTCCGTGTCTACCTGTTGTAAATAAAAACATTTTGAATATTTCAAATAATAAGGATATCGAAATAAATTAACTGTCCGGAATTAGAATTCGATGTCGTATACACTGTATATAGACGCCGAGAATCACGAAACATAATCTTACTAATTAAGTACCAGCGTACACAATGTACACAGTACTACACATTAAGTGTTTAGATATTGATGATCTTCTTGTATACACACAATGATGCGTATGAATATCATCGATCTCATAATACAATATATTTTTAAATATTTTATAAAATATACGAAATAAACATATAACTTACCTTCGAGCCTATCGACTTCCTTCTGCAATTTCTGCACCGATCTTTCGGCAAACTCAGCACGAGCTTCAGCCTACAAGAAAAAAATCTAGTGTAAATGTCTGTGAAAAGTTAAAACGGATTGTGTGATTAAACACAACACAGTTTTTGTGTGAAATAAAAAAACATGCAATATTGTGTAATAATGTTAATAAGAATCGCAGTATAAGACAAAATAAAAACTTAAAATAAAAAAATATTGTTATAGCAAACATATTTTATGCATACGTGTTAAGTGTAGTTAAGTACATTGAGTTATGAGAAAACTCAATAACCACGTGACAAATTCAAAGTTCAATCGATTGCACAATGTACATACATTCGTATTTATCAACACATTTTAGTCATACGAAATCGTAATGAAAACATAAAAATTATTAATGGAAAATATTTCGTTACATTATGATGTAAGAAAGGTTTCTAATTGTATAAACTGGAGCTTCTAATTTCAATACGATGATATGAGAAATGAATTGTCCTCACGAAAATTCAATTTTTTTTTATGCGTACATGAACATTTTAGAATAAATATTTTACATGAAATTATAAAATATAAATATTGAGCTTAAATAAGGCTCTTTTACCTCTTTGAGCTGTGCTCCAAGACCTTTCACTTGTTCTTCAAACGTTTCTTCTCTTTGAGTAGCCTATTTATTTTTATACATATGTGCCGCGATTGTGAGTTAAGCGTGTACACACCAAATTTGCAAAACAAAAAAATAAAACAAAATCAAGTTAGACAAAAATATCACACAATGTCGTTAGAACAATATTAAACAATTATTTTTATAAGTGATTTTATATAGTGTATGATAGGTAGTACGAGGCGTATCGTGGGAAAGGTGTCATAATAATATCACACATTTTATGAGTTATTAAAACAGTATAAGTACAATGTTATAAGCTTTTATAATTTCTATTTTTAAGCAGGCTAAAATGCACACACGCCTGTGAATTTCAATTTTTTTTTTTTTGTTCTATAAAATACCTCCTTCAAACGGTTGGTCAAGGTCTTAATTTGGTTCTTATATTCTTCTTCACGTTGATTTGCCTGTCCAAAATTATTAGTTAGAATAGAATAATGATATTTTTTATTCAGAAATTTATCAGAAATTTATGGTCTCAACATAAATCGGCGATTCCCTATGAGGGATTATAATTCTATTTTTTATGTCAAATACAAAGACCACAAGTAAAAAGTTACATTTTAAGGTAGGTTTGATTAAATAAGGGGATATTACTATAATACAGTCTATTGAATTGAAAAAGGAATCGATTTCGCAATTGTTACTCAAATTTATAATTGGACACCCAAGAATATAATTTTGAAATTATCATCGTTAGGTACCGAACGATTCCACCGAGAGAATAAACCTATGTTATAATAATAATAATATTTGATGTCAAAATATTGTTAAAAAATCTTATAAGGACCTAAAAAAAATGATTTGTAAAAATCTGCTACTATTAAAAATATTTATTCAAATAATTTTAATTGAAATGTATACGTGTACCTTTTCCTCAGAAACTTCAAGAGACTTCAAGTTGTTACCAACAACACGTAATTCTTCTTCCAATTCCACGATTTTCCTATACGATATAAATATTCACAATTAGATAATAAACAAAACAATCATGTTAACTAAAAATTGCATTTTATAGAAATATCAACTCAAGTTTAAGGGTTTCTATGTGTTGTTGACGAATTAAAAATAATCGTTTTAATTATTCTTTTATTAAGTACCCTTAAACGCTTCATGAGTGAATATTACAATAGAAAATATTGGTAATTTTTGATTGCGATGAAAGCCACTCGGACGCAACACACTATAGTCTCAAACAAAGCGAAATATGTATATAAGTATACTTTTTACATATTTGTTCTGAAGCACTTACCACATACATAACCATCCTAACTACAAGTATAATACAATGGAAAAATCCAATGAAAATATTGTAAAAATTAAGTTTGTACTTTTAAATCTGCTTTTCTCTATGACGTATAAATGTTATATATACTCACGCATCGCTGTGTTCAGCTCTTTCTTCTGCTCTTTCCAAGTCTTGTTCCATCATGACCAATTTACGGCCGACCTAATGGCAATTGAAAAAACAAAACAATAACAAACTAATGTCATGCAAAACTAAAAATAAAAATTTAAGTTTTTGGACAAATAGGATGAATGTATGAAAGAGAGGATGTAAATCATGTTGTACGGATAGAAAAAAACACACAAAAAACAAAAAAAAAATCAAATAGTTGCTGAACGAAATAATCATAAGCTTAAACTTAATGAAAAAAAAAATCCATCAACGAAAATAATAATAAGCCCAAAGGTATCAATATGCGCGCAACAAATATTTAAGCATAAACCGAAGTGTCGCCTGTTCTGCTAAAGCAATGAAAAATCGCAATCATAAAAATTATCCAACGATTTTCTCTGAATATTTTTAGTAATGTGTAAATCATTTTAATCGTCCTTACGATTCGCCGGATTCGGCACGTTCTTCGGCTCTTTCCAAGTCGGCTTCAACCATTGCCAGCTTACGCGCTACCTAATCGCAATAATTTCCCAAAAAAAATAATTAAATAAATGCTGTTTGAACACGTTTTTGTACAATCAAATAGGTACACAGTATGAGTGGACACAGTATACATATAATAATACAAACATATAAATCCACACAGACGTATAAATGCATTATCATTCAAATGCATTCACGATATTGTTTCGCAACGCTATGCGGTGTATACACGGTTAATGATTAAGAAGGTTGACTGTACACACGTTGTAATACTATTGTAAGTATAGGAACACCAAACAATAAATTGTTAAATTACGCAACTATAAGAATGTTAGAAAGTGATTGATATAAATGGTCCTAAACGAAGGTACAATACTTTAATATTTGTAACCTGTTGAATCCAAGTAAAATGTCATTGTGGGCGTTGTATAATATTATTAATGCCTTAACTTATAAAATAAAAGGACAAATATTAACCGAAACGAGTATAAGTTTGTAGAAGAACAATGATCTACATATGACGAATACTTTACAGAGTTAAATAATACTATATTTCGGTATATCTATTCTTAGACATAAGTATTCTATAAATATATACAATAAATTATAAAACTAGTTAATCAATTATTATTTCAGCTAAATTGTTACCACATGAATTTACAAAATGGGTAATATGATTATCACGAATACTAGTTCGGTAAAACACGTACAATAATCGATGTTATAACTATTCTTGGATTTGTATAAAAATATCGATTATGATTTGTTAAAATCCGATTATGTATGATTTATTAACCATTTCATCGATAAATAAATTAGAGTTTTTACCGAAATAGTTTACACAAATCGTGAAAATCACCGACCATGTTTAGTGTGCAAGAACATCATATTTGAATGAAAACACATTAATTGTACGAACATACACATAAACGATTTGACATCAATAAATTATATAATTTTTGAATATTATCGTATTAATCCGTATTATTGACTATATTATTACAATAAACGTCTCGCAAAACAGTAATATAACAAATATAACAAATTTTGCAGTAATTCTGAGGAAATATGCATAAGGTTAAAGTGAGTGTATGTTTCAGACCGGGGTAAAAAAAAAAAAAATGAAAATAATTAGAACTAACGGACACGATATTCGGTGGAAGAATGTTATTAGACACACATACATAGAAACTACTTATATACAGAGTGGTACTTTTCAACACTGAACACGTTGTGTGCATTATATTTTTTATAATGAAGCAATATAAATTCCATTACCCACCTAGCACTACAAAACATATTTCGCTCTATATACAATACAACACAAAATACGCACACACTCATCTTAAGTTGGTAAAATATTATAATGATCGTTTTTGGTCGAATGACGTTTTTCAGTATTTCTCGTGAACTGGAATAAATCATCATTCGAAACTAGCATAATCAGTGTAATCGTTTGCCGTGAACAAATACTACACAAATTATTGGACGGCCGTAAAACACACACACACACACAAACACGAGTGATAATAACATGTCACATGTTGGGTGGGAAATATCTAATTTTAGTGAAATATTATTAATAATAATAACAAGAGTAACACCACGTCAGCAACAACGAGAATATAACACATTGTGTGTAATACATTGTCGTTGTCTATCTCATGGCGGTCAATATCGATCTTCTTTGTAGCAGTAACCACTCCTCTCGATAATGATGCAACTAGTAACGCACACTATTCAAGCATTATAATAATAATAATAATAATAATAATAATAATAATAATAATAATATATAGTAGCAGACGGTTATGTTTACATTTGTTGCAGATGACGATGATGACGACATAACTTAAAGGTGAATTTGGTACACGGCGTAGGGTGTTTTACCTCCTTTACACATCCCTCGCATATTTTAGAACATCAATAAAAACAAAAACGTAACAAACTGTGTTATTTAAAGAAATACTATTTCAAATGTTTTTTTTTTTATGTAGTCTTTTCTCGGTAAATGCAAGACGCACTATAATAGTCGTACATACATACGAATAGTCATCGTATGACAGACACACTAGTCATATACTCGTAATTAATTATATCACACACCGCAGAGCAACTCGTTACTTTTTAGATCACGTGCACGATAACGGTTTTGAATCGAGTGGATTCTATGAGCCCTTCCCAATGTTCATAATTTTGATAAAAATATATATATAATTGAAACAATATATACGACGATTTGATCGGAGTCTTTTCGAAATAATACACGTTATAATATTATTTTAATCGGGATAAAAATGTTATTACAAGTGCCCTCGGAACATCGGAGATATTATTACTAGAAACGATGACGATTGTATCAATAACATAAGACGGATATGGTAATTATTTTTTTTTACTCGCAAAAGTAATCAAATTAGGTACTTTCGGTCGGAAATATCGAAACAATGACCAATCAGACGTTCTAAATATGATTCACTTCGTGTGTATTTTAAAATAACTCTTGCGATAATATCGGTACATACAAATTTCTTCAAGTGTTACTATTTATATAATATATTTATAAATAAGTCAAATTTTTTTTTTTTTTTTGATGAAAAAAAATATTGAATACATTACCGGTAAATAACAAGAAAATAATTTTTATTTGTAATTATTATTCGAATGTGAATTAAATATACGTAGGGTATAAATAACAAGGGGGAAAGAATAGTTTAAATGAAATAAGAAAAAACGTATATCGTCTAAAGAGTTATTTTTGAACAAGTTTTACTTATTTTGTTCATTTACAGAAATTTTTTTTAGAAAATCGAACGTTAAGAGGACGTCACACCCGTATGTGTTGTCTCCGTCTGACATACGTACAACATACCAAATTTGCGTTCAGTGATTCAAATGTAGTGAAGTTAGCTTTAATATTAGATTAAACTGAACTATTATCAAACTTTAAGAGAAGTACATTATCTGTGTTTTGTTGGTCGGTTTTTTTCAAATATTTTAATATTTTAGAGTTATGATGTTTTTTTTATTGTTATATTTTACATACTTGTAACATGCTTAAAAATTAAAATATCGGAAAAAAACGACCAACAAAACACAGAAAATGTTCTTCTCTTAAAGTTTGATTATAGGTCAGTTTAATCTAATATTAAAGCTAATTTCACTACATTTGAATCACTAAACACAAATTTGCTAAGTTGTACGTATGTCAGACGGAGATAACGCATGCGGGTGGACGTCCTTTTAACAATATATTGGCCATCGCTATTTAATATATTTCTACGCACAGAAAACAATAATAGTACGAGCCTTTACATGAATAATTAAAAATAATGAGATTATTTTTTGCCGTTTCCTTAAAAAATGTGACATAGTTTTCAAACTATGTAGTTAATTACATTCTTTAGAAGATTATACCCATACTACCGACACATATTAACCTAAATTAACATTATAACCTAACCTAACCAATAATGAGCAATACAACTAAGTTATAAATTTTGTGAAATAATTTACAGTAAATAATTTTTTATGTATACAAATCACTAAAATTATATTTTTTATCACATACATTAAAAATATTTAATAGTTCTATCCCACCTACATCTCGTACAAGACTTTTTTGTTCAACTTTTCTCAAAACCATTAGATATTACCAACAGTTATATTCTACTATGAGAAACAATATTTATTATTTTAGGCATTTAACATTTGCAAAACTACAAATTTTGTCATTTAAGTAATGATGGTTTTCTTTTATTCATTCCGTTTAATCGGAATAAATGTTTAAACCCATAGAACTTGTAATCTACAAGTAAATTTAAAGCAAGTGAAATATTATAAACGAACATTTTGCTCAGTAATTTGAGAATTTGAGTTTGATAGTTTAAATATTTGTAGAATACATAAACATACAATAACCTCAAACGTATTTTACATTTTATTTACGAGTCTCATTGATTCGACACTTACATAGCATACGGTGTTATTTTGATATGAATGTAAAACGGATGCATTTAAAATAAACTGAATACATTGAAGACGAAGAAAACGTATTAAAACGAATATTTTCAGTTGCAGGGCAAACCAGTTTTTTTCTTCTTAAGTTAAATACCTTTCCCGCCGTAGAATATATTATAATACGTTTATTTTGTTATTGTTACCGTTTGAGAAATTAGCTTGAATTTTTATAATTTTGTTTACTAATACAAAATTTGATGATTGCCAGTGAATATCTAATACAGATGGTAATTTTTCTTTAATAAGAACGTGACGTAAATACGTCGTGCATCTAATAAAAAAACTATTAATAAAAAAGCAGATAATTAAATTCAATAGCACCAAGCTTAACACTGAAACTAATTAACTGTTTATGTTTTTGTTAAAAAATAATTATTTAAATAATATTTCTTTCAGAGAAACAATAATATATTATTGATAAGTATTATTTTTGACGCTTATAAATTACTTTAGAAATTAGAATATCATATGATTTCTTTTCTAAATACCATTATTTCCAAATAACTCTCATAAGAGTTATTTGTATGATTAAATATTGATTGAACATAGTATTTCAAATAAATATCTCTCGACAGTTTCCTAACCTAACCTACTTTTAAAAAGTAACCTTTGTCCATTATAACACGGTCCATAGAATATATAGTATACATAATAACATAATAAAAAAATTAATTAAAACAGAAATACTGATTTATTAAGTTACACAAGAAAAATAAAATATCAAACATCTCAAACATTAGATAAACTCCCTACAATTTTAGTAAACTTAGTTATAATTATTACAAATTAACATATTTTAAATAATAATATAACAATATTATTATTATTATTAAAATCATACAATTTGTTTGTTATTAACAAAACTATATTTTAACTATATATAACATGTTAAATAAGACGTAAAGTGTTTGGTTTTTAAAGAAATAAAAATGTATACAAATATTTGAATTACTTATTTTTAAATAAGTAAATAGTGTATAAATTAATTTTTAATTTAACATAAACTTGTTAATACATAATACATTTTAAATTTTCTATAACAAACTGTAATATTTAACACAATTAAAAAAAAATAATATTTTTCATACAATATTGAATATTTTTAAAAACAAAACATAACAGAAAATAAAATGGTCAGACAATAAAGATTAAGAAATATTGTACGAAGTAACTTACATAATATAAAAATTAATTTTTATACGTAAAATTGTCAGTTTTACTTGGATTCAATTGGATTCAATATAAAATCAAAATATTTTAATTCATTTTATTAATGTCAACAGTTAAAAAAAAAGAAGGTAATTTCAATTCAAAAACAATAAAAATATGAAAATAATATCTTGTGCAAGCTGTTAAAATCAAGTTTATCAACAGTGAAATGCTAATAATTTAACTAATGACAATGAGAATATAATCTTAAAGCCATTAGTAATAACATTTCCATTTATGAACTCATTCATTTTTCCACAAAATGTCTACGAGTAACATTATATAATATTTCAACTGCACATAATTATCAGTTCCAAAATTATTGATTAGTAAAATTCAAGTGAGATAACGATTTAATAGTGTTAGTAACACAGTATCGTTCACCTCATCATATTTCTTATCAGCTTCTTCAGCTAAAAAGCGAGCTTCCTTTAACTGGTTCTCCAAGGCATCCATACGTTCCTCATCAGCCAAACTGCGGTTTTCCAACACCTTACGAGCACTGTATAAATCCCAACCAACAAGTTACTCCCAAGATAACAAGAGTATACATTTTACCTAACACAAGTTTTTATTTATAAGATTTATAACTCCTAACTAAAAGTGACATAAAAGTTTCAATTGCCCTAACAAATTTTATAATCAATATAAAATATACCATACAGCCACGTCGTGTTTTTGTGCTTATCAGGAATGTAAGGATGATTAGGTTGTAATACAATTTAAAAAAATCACAAATAAAAAATACACAGTAGCCATTATTTTACCTCTTCGTATTTTTTGTCAGCCTCCTCAGCAATGAGTTTGGCTTGTGCCAATTGAGCTTCGAGAATGGCTACTCGATCATCTTCCATATTAGTTCGGTTCTCCAATGCCTTTCGGATCCTTTTAATTTACAAACAACAACACATCAAACGGATGCACACTCAGTGTTATTGTTTTAGTAAAAAATAATTATAATAAATATTTTTTAGTAGGTAGTAATTTATTTTTAATGTTTATAATTATCTTAACCTTATTTATTTCCAACTAACAAAAAAACTATTTGACCAAATCGATGACTAAAAGAATATGTTATTTATTATTTCATATTTAATAAGTAAACAATGAAAATATGATGTAATGTTCAGTGTCTAAAATAATATAATCGAGTTTATCTATAAACATGCACACCGAAAAAAATAATTTCTATTGATAAAATTAAGTAAATGACAAAACTGATTACTTTGAGTAACTGATAAACAAAACAATATAAATCCCCATATAAATCAGATTTATTTTTAATTAATCAATATCTAAAGGATCAACAAAAAAAATATTCATTTAATAATGGGTTATTTAAATATGATTATTTAATAAAACGATTTTAGAAATGTAAAAACATGCAGTAGATACCCAAACACAAAACAAAGTTAACAATCAAAAGGGATTCAGTTTTCTTTTAAAAATAATTTTAAAATTATAATTAATATAAGTTATTAAGGTGCCTATTATAATTAGTGATGGGCAAATACCCGGTAAATATAATTTCAGGTAAATACCAGGTATTTACCCGATAAATTGGATAAATTTATTTGTAATGCTAAAACCAATTTAAGGGTATCACAATACTTTTTTATGATTGTTTCCTGACTTTTTCATGTTTTTCCAAGTCTGATGATTAGAGTACATAAATTATATTTATGATTTTTTTTTTTTAATTTTACATATTCACTTTGAAACCAATAACAATTTTAATGGGGAAACAAATAAATCTAAGAATTTAAGAACTAACCAAAACGCTTCAAATTTTAAAATGAAATTTATTTATTAAAAATAATTATGTTTGACAATAAAAAAAAAATATTTACCCAAATTTTTGGTAGGTAAATATTATAGGGGGTACCCACGGCACATCAGTAATTATAATGCAAAACATGAATACATCTGGTTAAAAATATTTAAGATACTTATTTTCCAACAAATAAGCTTATAATTATTTATGACTCAAGTTTGTCACTTGTAAAGATAAATATTTTTAACCGGATATATTAATGTTGTGCATTATAGTATTATTAATGATGTGTAATATCTATACCTATTACAACTGATTTTAAAAAATTACCAAATTATGTTACTAAGATATATTATTAAATAACTTTGTACTTCAAGATGCAAAAATTCTGAATAATTGGTTCCTCAAAAGTAAAATTTATCACAGATAATTAAAATATATATTAAATATATTATGCTACTATAAGAAATATTATGTCAATATAGCAATAGTGTAATTACACAATAAGAGAAAATGTCATTTAGTAAAACATATTGAATAAATCTACCATATTTTAATATAATACCCTTCAATGTCATTATAAATGGCATTTAAATTAATATATTTATTTGTAACTTGTGAAAATAATCTGTGCGATAAACATTTTTAATCTTAAATTTATTATTTGTTCATATAAAATGTATGAAACACAAATATTTAAATTGTCACTATATTTTTAAACTTATGTTAATGTGGACTTCAAGAAATATTTTAGTAAAATGGTAAAAAAAATTATTGAAATATTTATTTATTAGAATTAAAGTTAGTTTCAAAATTATTAGTTAATACATGATACATTAACAGCTATTAATATGAGTTTACCCTATTGCAATTTCTAGCATATTAAACTTACTTGCAAACTTTGTATCCTTATATGCATCTAAATATTATTTAGTTTTAAAAATGATCTAATTGTGAGTAGAAGTGTAGAGTTTTTTATATAATGAAACAGTATGGATTTAACAAAAAAAAGAAAGGGAGATATGCTTCATAAAGAAACAAAAGGTAGTAAAAAGAAAAAAATTATGGCTTCAAAAATGGATTAATAAAAGCAATATTATTGAAGCATCAAATAATTTTGAACTAAGAAATGAAGCACTATCATCATATAAAAACTTTGTGAGAATAGATAAATACTTAATATTTATAAATTTTAAACTGGCATTCAATTTTTTTCTAACATTTCGAACTACTTGAAAGTTTGAGCATGCTTATTATCATGGTTCATATTTGTTTAATTTTGTTCTTGCACAAGAAAAATATGCAAGAAATTGCAATAGTGTGAACCTAGGTTTAATTTACATCATGTTGCACACTAAATATTATTCACATGTACTTACCTATCAGACATAAAAAACGACGTGACAGTACTTTCAGTATTATGTAAAATATAATAAGTACTAAGATAAGATTTTAATATTGGTAGTACATACTCAATGAATTCAATTAAAATATATATATCTGAGTATAAATATTATTGTATTTTGTAAAAACAAATTTTGTTTGCTTACTTCCTATTGGTTTTAAAACATTTGAGCCCTACTATATTACCTATGAATGAATAATATTAAATACTTTATGAATATATGAGCAATAATTTTTTTTAGAAACCTCAATATATATGAATGAAATCTGTAAGGTTAAGAATCCTGAAAATGTTAAACTTTTGACCAAAAATTTAACATTCACTTACCGTTCAGACTCATCAGCAGCTTGAGATGCCTCGGCCAACTTAGCAGTGGCCGTGGCCAAGCGCTCTTCAGACCTTTCAAGGTCTTCTTCGAGCAATTGGATACGTCTGTTAAGAGCAGCAACTTCACTCTCAGCATAAAAAACAAAAATTAACAATGAATATTTAGGCATATATTATTTATATATAGGTATACATATTAGAATAAATATATTGGAAATATTCATGGGAATTTTATTCTAAATATATTCTAGATAGAGTGATTTTACATGAAATTGTATAGTATATAAATATATGTACACATTCAGGTGTAAAATACTAAATTAACAGGAAACCCAACCTAGGCCGTAACTTCCTGAATTCACAACATACATGAAGCCTATTGTTGTTTAGAGATAAATTATATCATCACGCCTCATAGTCCTAATTGTAACCTTGAATAATCAGCTTAATTTTATGTGTCAACCAAATTATTTAATTATTAAAAACCAATTTTTGTATGGGCAGATCTTTTTTTAAGTTATATAAAATGTTGTTAAAATATTTTTTGCAACTGTAGAATACTCAGTAATATAATTTACCTACATTCAGCTACCACACAAATAAAAGTTTATAATTATTGAATTTAGGAAACCTAAAAACTAAAATTATTAAGTAAGATCAAATCATAAAGTGTATGCTTTAAATAATAGAAATACAATATATTAGTTTAATGACAACACATTAATGATAATAATTCAAATACTATTAATAAATCAAACAATAGCTAAATAATTTATAAAAACATTCAGATAATTGTCTTAAAATCAATAATCCACTAATAATAGGTTACATAACAAACATTTGATTGATTTTCAACAAAAATTCTATTTTTAATTAGAATAAAATACATGAAACCCGCCTGAAGACAAATAAAATAAATATATTAAAAATAAAAACAAGTCGTTTTCAATTTTAAAGAAATATCGCAGAGTTAATGTATAAAACATAATATTTTTTCAGACTAAAAATAAAGAATCAATTAAGTAGGTAGCTATATTCAATACAACCAAAATTCCAAAAAAGTTGAATCGATAAATAAATAAAGATTTAGTATTGATAGCGAAAAGTTTCTTTGCTCATAAGGTAAGATAATTCAGTTTAATCAGCTACAAGTCAAAACTTTAAAACAGCTAACACAAACTACTGAATAATTTAAACAAGTACATAACCAATATATAGGTATCCTTTTTATCTACCCAGTTTAAATAAATTCAAATCAGATACAAAAAATAAATTATAACCACAATCTACTAGTTTAGGCTCTTAAAATATTTATAACACTGACAGTTGATGATCCATTTCTAAACATTTATAGTACATGACTTTGATTGTTAAAGTCTACAACTAAATCTAAGGCAACTACCATGCTTTCAAAATTATTAGGATTAAAGTTAATTATTTCTATTATTAAAGTATGTAATAACAGTATGATTACAGTATGTAATTTCATACCTATGTAATAAATTTAATAAAAAATATTATTATATTTGACCAAAAACCTATTATAAATATATGTATAGTTAGTCTATATCATCCTATTAAAAATTAGGTAAAACAAATGTTATGTAGAACATAATCATTGATATCTAATTTAAATTTGATTTTATAGCAAGAATAAAAAAAGTTAATAATACAAATATTTCAAGCGGATTAGGAGAACAAATCAAATTATAAATGGACCGACGACTACAGCAGAAAAAAAATTTGATAACTCGGACACAAAATATTCATAATAATGAAATCGTTGGACGCATGATTACAACAAAGTCTATCAAGCAATTTCGATGTTCAGCTAAAGGCCAAGAATAGACACCAGGACAAAGATGAACAGAAAACGGCATTATACAAAAGTATTTTCAGATCAGGTGGGATGGGAGATTTTTTTTCATTTTTGTTACAGAACACGCAAGAGTAATAATATAATGATATTATGGACTGGACAAACGCAACGTACTTCCTCACGTCTCATGACCTCCATCTGGAGTTTCTTATGGAAATCCTCGCATTCCTCCTTATACCTCTCCATCTCCTCCTTGGTCTGACGCATTTTTTTTTTCAACACGTCTAACAACGAGCCCTGTTGTATAGTGGTCATGATAACTTAACGGCTGTGACGGCGTGCGGGCAGTAATGCGACGTCGTACGCGTGTCTGGAGTGGCCGAAAAGCGAAGAGCAACAAAAGTAAACGAGAGACCGCACGGCACGAACTGTGGGACCGGGACCGGAGGTGGCGAACGCACGGTGAAAACGGGAAAAGAGCTTTGAAGCTTTGGAATACGTGACCCAACGAACGGTAGGTCGGAAGTGAAGCCGGTTTTGAAAGCAGTAAATGAGCGCGTGCACACACACCGAACTGAACACTGTGCAACGGCGCCGATGAATCACGATGACGGCTGACACGCACGGCGGTTACGTTGGTTACGTGCGGCGTTTGGTTACGGGACGCACTGCAGAAGCCTCACACTCGCACTCGCTGTGACCGACCGGTTAACCAAACTGTTGTATTATACGCCAGAGCACATACTCGCCGACGGTAAAATCGTATAATAGTATATTATAGCAACAATACGGCGGGCGGTTCGTCGGACGAATACAATATACTCGTTCGCACGCGCGCGCACGCGCCCACTTGATACGTACGCACGGGTCGTAATATGCGCGTGTGCGCCCCGCCCGGCCCAGACGGCAGTGGAGACGAATCATCCATGGGGCGGTGGCCTTGCGGGCGACGTTGCCGGTTTTCACTGCATAACGTTGGCGCGGGGCGGGGTGCCGGTAATTTTGTTCGTATTTGGCGTTGACCGGACGGCCGGCGCAAAAACATAAACTGGTTCCGCGGACGATCACGGCATACCACCGTCGCCCCATGCCCACCACAAACCTCTACCGGTGGCTTTTCTTCAAAACCCACCGTCCCGCCACCCGACAACGTTGCCTACCGCGCTCGTTCCGTCGGACCCCGATCGCCTCTCCCGACCATTACGAGCGCCCAAAGGACGAGAGACGGTGACAGGTTCGGTTTTTCGCACACGACCGTCTGCTGCTGTCGCGACGGTTACGTCACGGCACACTGCCTGACCATATCGGTAAGGGTCGTGTGCTACTAACACGCACGCGAACGAGTCTTTTCACCAAATACGGGGCTGCGTTTACTCCGCGCGACTTTCTGCGCGGATAATGGACGGCTCACGTGACACGCGTTATATCGTGTCACGCAGTACGTTTTGCAAGCGCCACATGTGTCCAACGTAGCCTTTAACGTACGCGGTTACGCAGCCCTAATATAACTGATTGACGAGTTGATAACGTTTGTTCGCTCTAAATATGGTCGACGGACGCGCATTTTTCCCACGTCGTATTCCGTCCTCGAATGGATGCACTACGGGTTTTGAAAGTTAAAGAAAAAATCAGTCGAACAACATTATTTTCTTAGTAACGTCGTTAATAATCGAACTATATTGTACGTATACGATCATTGGGTAACACTTGAAATCAAAAACACATTAAACTGAATACATAAATGATTTCAAAAAGAAATAAAATTCTAATTAGGTACTTAAATGTTTTAATACACGAGTAATAAAAATTGGTTATGAAAAAAATTCCATATTATTATAACGAACTAACCGTATTATTACAACCCAAATAATTTGTGCTTAATTCTTACAAAAAGTTGAACCTTATTGTTAATATTAAAAGCAAATATATGACGTGAAGTGCACGTATACGAAAAGCGATAATTTATATTCATTATTAACTCTTTATTGGTATGATAATGTGATAAATGCAAATTTTAAAATATTAACTGCTTGTGCAATTTTTATTCAAATATGTCAGGTAATAACACAAAATTGTGATAGCTAAAAAATAATTATAATAATGTTATTTCATTATCTGGTTACAACATTATTTATAAGATGATATAATTTAATATTTTCATAAATATTTAATAATTATTTTAAAACACTAATCGTTTTTGTAATTTTTCTGACAAGGCACTTATTTTATCTTTCACAAATAAAAAATTCTTTAAATAGTCTTTTGTTTTTAACTTTTACGATTATGAGTAAATACGCTTATGCTATCAAAATCAAATTCCAATTTACAATTTTTTTTTTTATTGCAATATTTAAACACTTAAAGAATAAATATTGTTTTTATTACTAATAATGTTAAAGGTTAAACTTTTGAATATTTAATTTATCTAGATATTTAGTTTATAAATTATACATTTTATAAAATAAAATATACAAAGTATACGAGTTGTTTTATATAATATACAATGTTATTGGTTTCATGGCATTTTTTACCGACTGTACAGTAAATCTTCTTAAAAAGATTTTTTTTTTCTAAATACCACATACATTTTCGACTGGTCACGCGGTTTTGTTTTCGATTGGCCACACCTGTTATTAGTGTGTTTGTAACGTGTAACTCTTTTCGAAACGATTTAAAAACTTCCCCGTAAAGAAAAAAACGCACATAAATCAATACGTGTGTGCGTTACTACATATCTACGCCTGTACGTGGTAAAAACCGTAACGAGCAAAAACGCTCCTACCAATATCATACTACATAAGTATAGGTACTTATAAAATAAATAGCATTGCGCACGGAAAGTAGTTGATTTTTTTTCGAAAATATAATTAATCATTAAGTATAGAATATTGAGATAAATTGATATCGTTGTAGGTTATCGGCTGGATAGCTGTTATTAATGTATGTCAAAAAAAAAAATGTTAAACTATTTTATCGACATCAGCGGTTATCGGGATCGGAATGTATACGAGCATAAGAACGTAAATATTTTTGGCACTGCCTACAACATACGATTAGCAACGACGACGAGTGAAATGGAACGGGGTGGCGGGACGCAGAGTACAAATCGACGACGACTTGTTGCAAACGCAAAGCAAAATAAAAAAACGACGGGATGCGTGCGCACATTAGACAACAACAATAGCCATCATCTTATCGAATAATAATAATATAAATTATGTAAAATAATAATAATTATTATGAGTTATATACATGACTGACGGGTAAAAACGAATAAATAATGAATGACCTCTGCGTGTAGTAATAATACGCGTATGTGTATCGGAAAGAACGCGAAGGTTGATGACAGCAGTCGGTGTTATTGCTGGTGCCGAATAGTCGGTCGCCCGGAATGCAGCGCAGTGAGATATTCTCTACTCGGTCGCCGGCACGCACAAGGATAGTTGGCACCACGCCTACGGTTTAATTATACGTTGAAATTCGACGTAACCAGTGGTCGTTAAATTAAGTCGAAAAAGCGTGGAGCAGTCGTGTTTAGGTGAGGAAAGGGCGACGGGATAGTTCGAAGGGTTCCTCCACACCGCATGGGAAGTTGTCCGAAGACGGGAGTAGGAGGTTAGACAGGACCTGAGCGCGCGTGGCGGATGTAGAACATTGAGAACCCGCGGTTCCACGTCGACGACAGGGGGATTGGCCAACGGCGATGGCGGCGACGATGACGGCATCGACGAGCAGTCAGCTGTGCTACGCCACAAATAGAGTCAGCCGAGCCGTACACCACTGCCGCCGCCGCCGACTTACCCGTCTCAGTTGCGGTTTAAGCACGTTGTGCAGTTCGTTCCTGATTATGCTGAACTTCATGCCGGTTTCCGTACTGAACACGGAACTGGACAGCGCTAGTCCGGGATAGTCGGGACACCGTCTCCGTTGCCGTCGTTTCTCTCGTTCGGCGACCACCTCTGCGCTTTCGCTAGGACACCGAAGTTTGGCCAGCAGCTCCGTCTCGTCCACCACGTAGCTCCCTCCTGCAGCTGCTCCTTCACCGCAGTCTTCCACTCCATCACCGGCTTCTCGTACGGATTCCTCAGGCGCAGTCCATAGCGGTGGCAATCGAGATGGTTGTTCCTGTGGCGGCGGCGGCGACGGTGTTGTTGACAATAATGGCCGAGCCTGGTCCTGCGATGGCGATGGAAATCTTGGTGGTCTTTCCTGACGCATCTGCGGCGGTGGGGCAGGTAGTCTTGGAGGCGTCCTGTCCTGCTGTGTCTGCAATGGCGCCGGCAATCGCATGGTTCGGTCGTGTGTGGTGTGCAGTGCCGCGGGCAGTCTCGGCGTCCTGTCATATGTCTGAAGCGGCGCGGGCAGTCTTAAAGGCGTTCTGTAAGGGGCGGCCGTGACAGGAAATGAAGTAGTAGTGTTCAAGTTCGTTTCAGGGGCGCCGACGACGATCCGTTGTTGACGTTGATGTTCGTCCGTCGACATCTGCGGTCGCTTCGGGGTCCGTGAGCCCCTGGAGGGACGCCTGTCACCCGACCGCCTGTCACGTCCTCCACGGATGTCCATGCCTGCGCGGTCGTCCGTCGTCCACAACACGCCGGAACGGCAGCGGCGGCAGCGGCAGCGGCGGCGGCGGCGGCGGCGGCGGCGGCAAGTGGCACGGGCAGAAGCAGCGGCAGCCAACAGCAGCAGCGCTCTCACACGGCCGACCGCGCGTCGTGTACAACAACAGTGGTACGGACGGCGTACAACGCGGGCCGCAGGAAATGCACGCGCGACCACGCCGCCACGATTCCGTGTTGTTTTGTTGGCTGATATTCAAATAAATAAACGTACCAAGACGAAAGGCGGCGGGTGGTTACCGTCTGGCCCGCTCGTGTTGATCACCGTCTTTTCCCTCTCTCCTAGCAGTCATCGCCGCCGCCGCCGGCGCCGCCTTCAGTGCACAGTTGGCGGCTCATTCGCTCGTCGATTAATAAATTAAATGATTGCCCGAGGAATGCTCGCGATTTAGTTGGCCTCTACGACCTACGTCACCGCCGCCGTCGTCAATATCTCCGTTCAATGATCCGCACCGCGTTTCGCGAAAATCCCATCGCGTTCTATTGGCGATGACTCCTTCTGCAAGAGTTGTGTGATTGTGTACGTACACACCCGCGCGTAACGGGTAATTACCGCTGGTCGGACATGCACACCTGTCACGGGAGTTGCACCAGACAAATCGGACATTTACGTACTTGCTTGGCGTGCGATATATTATTAAAGACGTATCAATTTACTTCGCCCCGGAAACGTGTCGCCGATCCATTAAAATACGAAGCGCGTGAAAGTGTAATCCGATCATGTCACGTACACGTACGAGTAAATAATACGCGGAGCCGATGTTTAATTATAATAGTTGGCAAACTTTGACGTGTGAGACGTTTTGCGTGTGATAATAAAACAATAAAAAACACATCCAACATTCTTGATAATACATATATCATTCGTTTATTCGATGATAATGATGCAGTCTTCGTCCCGTGAGGTTGCGAAATAATACTCTGAACATTTTCAAGTTTTTATTTCGCGTCACACAACAGCTTACATTTATTGTTGATGACTTCATAACGTGTTCATTCAGTCATAAGCAACTTGAAACGAGATTATTTCTTAGATTAAGTAATTGAATGGCCTGCGAGTCTAAAAATACTCGAAGGACAAATATCAAATTCTCCACCGTATACCTTAACGTTATTGTCGATCGTTTTTTAATACAAATTTACATTTTAAATCCCTATCAATAACAAATAAATAATATTTCTCATATAGTTTAATTGGATGCATTTACCATTATTTTCTTTGAAAACATTTCTTTCGTATCTATATTAATAATATTTTGTTAGAATTATCTTTTATGTAACCAACGTACGATTTAAAATCACTTAAAATACAATTATTTATAATATACATTATAATTTGTAAGACTTGATTTTATAATATGTCCTGGTCACATACAACTAATTATAATTATTAAATAAAAATTGCATAACACAATACCCTTAGGACACTAGGAACAATAGAGATTAGGGTTATAGCTTTTTTTATAGTAATAAATAAAGAACATGAATTAGGATTTTAAACAATATACATTTTTTTCATATCCAAATAAAAGATAAATACGTAAATTTGGAATATTTGACTTAAATTGGATACAAACACTATTGTTGAAAATTGGGATTCGTTTTCCTTGATGTTATGAGGCAATAAGATAAAAAAAACAAATAAAATAATATTTGTTTGAATTAATATTATAACCTAAATCATTATAATATTTATTAATCAAGAGAAAAAAAAGAAAAAACTATATTTATCAATCGAATCTAAATACAAAGTTATATATTACAGCTCAAATTTCAAATGGCTATTAAATTAATTTCATTCATTTTTTTACAATCAATTGCCGATCACATAATCTATAAACTTCTACCTTTAATTTTTTAAATCTCAATATCAATACAACCAGGGGCGGGTTTTATCACTAACCAAGGGAGGAGCTAATGGAGGTTTAAGAATTTAGTTAGTTGGTTTTTTAAATCTATATAAAATTTTAAATTACAGAATATGTTTTTGAGTCCCTCATATGTAAGTCATTTTTTTCACAATAAAGACAAAGTTTAAATAGTTACATTATTGGTATCAATTTTAATCTGAAATCATTTTAAAATATTGGTAAATACATATAATTAACAACAAAAGTGAGCTATTTATTTATAAAAAAAAAAATATATATAATAGGTACCATATTCATGAATGACCATTGACGATATTTTATTATAATTATTAATTTATAATAATACTTTGCTTTGTAAAATAGATAGCTTAGTCCCAAGGTGGGGGCTAATGTCCCCTTAGCCACCCCCTTAAACCCGTCTGTCAATACAATTAATATTAATGTATTACGTCGGTTTAAAATTTGAAATATCGATCGCTGGGATATTTTAATAAAAATTATTGTAACTTTTAAATTTAAAATTATAGTACTTAATTGAAATTATAAATTGCATTTTACAATATAAAGTTTTTAATTTATTTTGGATTACATCTTAATTATCTCAAAAATAAGAGATTAGATTAGAGAACATTTATGTGATTCCTTAAAATTGGAAAATCTTTATGATTATAAATATATATAAATATATAAATATGATTTTAAAGGAGTAATGTTTGCTAATTTTTCTAATGACTAAACTTTTTTGAAGTAAATTGAAAAAATTAAAGTAATACAACTATAAAAGACTACAAAACATACAAATTTGTTTTTGATTACACAATTTGAAGTCGTACATCTATAGTGTTACATTATCGTGTGCAAGGATCAAAATCTGAGTATTCATTCCTTTGGCTTGTTTAATTAGAAATTTTTTTAACACTTATTCGTGCTATACTTAGAACGTATACTAACCACATTTGTTTTTAATACCCTTGAAAACTATTTTTATGGTTAGTTTTTAAAGTATTTATTTTTTATAGTCCTGGCTAGATTTATTTATGTTTTTCTAATAGAAATACACTTTATTCTTTAAATTATTCGAAAATCTGTTTTATTGAAATAAAATTTGTTATTTCCACATTTACCATAGACTATTATTTTATCAGTAATTTAATTAATTATCTAATATATACTATCTATACAACAATGTGTGTAAGTGAAATGCAATGTATTATAAAAATAAACAGAAAACAGAGAAGAATAAATTCTTCTTAGAATGACACTCCTACTAAATTTATATGGATTAAATTAATTTCTAGACTAATATCGTTATAAATCAGTGTTTCTATGGCTACCGCATATTAACACAGAACAGCGATAAGCATTTTAGGGAAGAAAACGTCTAAATTTACTTTAAATTGATTATCTACGCTAATTTATTCTAGGCCATAAATACTTGATTCAACATAAAATTGAAGAAAAAATATTTAGACTATATGTTACTGAAGACAAGACAATTTTGAATACATGTTTATAATAATTTATAAATTAATTATATTGAAGAAAAACTCAAACGTGTATTGTTTTAATGAATGTCATTGGCATGTAGGATCCAACCCTCCTATTCCCAAAATCTCAGTTAGTAAATAAATAGGTAATAATAAAAATAATTATTGCCTAAGTATATCAAACCTTCATTCTATAAATAATTTTTGCCTACGACCTTAATAAATATGTCTATAAAATGTTTGACGTATTTAATTTTTGAAACTGTATATGTAAATTAAATTATGGAACTGGGACCGAACCAAAAATAACTGGTTCTGGAAACAGAACCTTGACCAAATTATGGAACCTTAACATTTAAAGAACCCAAAAATCGATCAAAATATTTTTTTGATTTTAAATTTTAAAATTGTATAAATTGAATATAAAAATATGAATAGTAATTCACTTCATGATGTAGTAATTTAAGTAAAAAAAAAATTTAGAAAATCAATTGTTAGTGAGTACCAACAGATTATTTGAGGAAATTAATTCTAAAGATATTATAAAAAAATAACGAATATACAAACTATTTAAATTTGTTTTGGTTCTAACAATGATCAAACATCTCAGTTCACAGCTTCACATAACAGAGTATCATGTCAAAAAGATTTCTCATCAAAACTAAAAAAAACTAACTAAAATATTATTATAAATAATATAAAATCATAACATTTTTATGGTTTTGTGGTGCATATGATTACCAATATATTTTTTTATTTATATTTTAACATTTTTAGAATATGTCTTAAAATTTAAAACCAAAAGTGAAGTAGGTATTTTAAAACAACTATGGGTTTGTGATGAAAAACAGCAAAAACATTAATATTTTTACATTAATTTAACTTGATAGCAAGAAAGATAAGTACCTACAATTTCATTTCATAATTATAAAAATTAATATTTTTTCGAGAAAAGTGTAATATTTCACAATAAAATGTATGTTACATACTTTTTTCCGTGTTAACAAAAAAAATGTTAAAAGTGGTCAACACCTTTTTTAACAGGAACCAAAAACTTAATATTGCATTTTAATATAACGGAACCAAGATTTTATATTTTAAAAAACCAGAACGTAACCCTTAAAATCATAAAGGTTCCCGTAACTGAATGAAAGGAGTTACTTAAATTCACTGACGAATAATTTAAATTTTGCTAAATTTAATAAATTATAAGAATATATAATTGGTCGAAATTCGGAAGGCTTAAATATGTTGATAGGAAAATAAACTACAGAGTATATATGATTGAGGAAATATAAAACATAATACTAATACAGTATTACAAATATGGAGATTTAAAAAGTTTTTTCTTTTAAAAGAAAATGTAATTTACTATGAACAACAAATTTCAAGACAGGTCAAATGTTTTTTCAATTAATTACACAAAATTGGCAATGATTCTGTTCTAGAAGCAAGACTATCTCAATATATTCCGATATTTGGGTATTCATTATGATAGTTAATGTATAATATAAATATATATATTATAAATATTCTTAATTAATGTTAATTATGCTTAATATAATTCAAATTAAGTAATAATTTTCAAAATCATATAATATACTTAGTTTAATTATTTAAAAAACTATAATTTTTATTTTTTTAATTTTTGTGAAAAATATTGTAATATAAGAATTTAAGAATTAAAATGAAATTAATTCAAATTAATTCAAATTTTAGTTTGTTTTAGTTTATATACACTTAAATATCATCATATGGACACAAATAAGATAAAACATTGCGTTAAAATTGATGGAGAAGAATTTTAATTGTACTAATAGAATGAAGATTTATATTTCTTAATATTCAAAATATTCAATTATAAATATTAATTATGAATTTTAAATTAAGTAGTAATCATTGAAAATGTATTTTTTTTTGTGGACTGAAAATCTACAAATACTGAGATACGCACCGTTACAGTTTAAGCAACGATATGTGACACTACAAAGTGGTAATAACTATACATGGCCCAATTTTGAAATTAAAATCAACTAAAATATTTAATACATCAGTTCTAAATTATAATTATTCATTACGTTATTATTTATTACTTACATAATATATTTATCATTTTATTAGTTGTTTGGATTTCTTACAATTTGAACAGCTAATTTTTGTTTTTTAAGGACAGAAATAATATTTTAAAACCTAGATGCCGAATATGAGATCTTATTAAGTTAATTTTACTAGTTAGGAACATTGTAGGGGTTAATAAATGTAATCCTAATAATTTTTCAGATGAAAAAATGTTAAATGTATCAAAATATATGTGTAATGAATCTATTGATTTTAGTTTAAGTACCTATTTAAATAGTATTGAAACCAAAACTTATTGTATTTCATAATGTTGTAAAATATAAATAATTAAAATCTATGGCGTTAAGTTATTTGTTTATTTATAATGTGAATGAATAATTATATAGTTTATTTTAATATAATAAATTAACATTTATGAAATTTGAATACAAATTGTTTCCATAACTTAGTTCGATAACTTATCTATCATTTAAGTAAAATATATTGCATCTCAATAAATGTTCAGGCGCTTATTCAAGAAAATATCCAATTACCTTTCTTAAATTAATAAATTGAATTATAATTGTAATAATTTATCACATACAGACATTAATTACATTGAAGAATAAATATTTAAAAAGGAAATGTTGAAAAGTTATAGAAATAATTTACGTAATAATCTTAACAGATCTTCAATTATTCTGCTTTTTGCGTACTAAATAAGGAAAAACAAATGATTGACACTTCTTTCTATGTAGGATG